GGGCGGGGGCTGGCCCAGGTCCCACTCCTGCAGCCTGGGCAGGGACGCAGCTGGACTTCCCTCCGCCCCCAGGGCTGTTCCCTCCCCGCCCCCAGGGAGAGAGGAAGGGCACCAGGAGCACCAGCAGAAAGGAGAGCGGGCGATGGGCAGGGTTGGGCATGTCCACGCTACAGCGTTACGACGGTGTCAGTCGACATTCAGCCAGCGCGGCAACTACAGCTCCCTCCCCTCCGCGCTCGCGCCTTGTCGGCGGCACAAGCACTTCTACTGACGCAGCGGGCACTGAGCCCAGGAGCCCTGCAGCCCTGGGGCTGACAGCGGGGACCCCGGCCAAGGCGGAGCAGCTGGGAGCCCCCGGCAGAGCCGACAGGAGCCCGGGCCAAGGCGGAGCAGCTGGGAGCCCCCGGCAGAGCCGACAGGAGCCCGGGCCAAGGCGGAGCAGCTGGGAGCCCCCGGCAGAGCCGACAGGAGCCCGGGCCAAGGCGGAGCAGCTGGGAGCCCCCGGCAGAGCCGACAGGAGCCCGGGCCAAGGCGGAGCAGCTGGGAGCCCCCGGCAGAGCCGACAGGAGCCCGGGCCAAGGCGGAGCAGCTGGGAGCCCCCGGCAGAGCCGACAGGAGCCCGGGCCAAGGCGGAGCAGCTGGGAGCCCCCGGCAGAGCCGACAGGAGCCCGGGCCAAGGCGGAGCAGCTGGGAGCCCCCGGCAGAGCCGACAGGAGCCCGGGCCAAGGCGGAGCAGCTGGGAGCCCCCGGCAGAGCCGACAGGAGCCCGGGCCAAGGCGGAGCAGCTGGGAGCCCCCGGCAGAGCCGACAGGAGCCCGGGCCAAGGCGGAGCAGCTGGGAGCCCCCGGCAGAGCCGACAGGAGCCCGGGCCAAGGCGGAGCAGCTGGGAGCCCCCGGCAGAGCCGACAGGAGCCCGGGCCAAGGCGGAGCAGCTGGGAGGCCCCGGCAGAGCCGACAGGAGCCCGGGCCAAGGCGGAGCAGCTGGGAGCCCCAGGCAGAGCCGACAGGAGCCCGGCCAAGGCGGAGCAGCTGGGAGCCCCCGGCAGGGCTGACAGCCAGCAGGCGATGGCAGCGACGCAGTGTCCATATGGCCCCTGCGCCACCCTCCGCCCATCGACCGAAGGCTCCCCCTCGCGCAGAGCTGGCGTGCCCCTTGGGGGGAGCCATGTTGCGGTGGAAACAGCGTTCGCTGGACACTGCCGTGCATCACCTAACTCGGGAGTGCCGAGCCGGGCGTGGGGTCGCCAGGCCGCAGCCGATTGGCCTGGATCTGCAGGCAGTTTGGCTCCAGAGCTACGTCCTGGAGCTGCCGGGTGAGCCGGGCAGACAGCCACCCCACAGGTTTCCAGACCCAGCTGTCACACCTGCAGGCAGCTCGTGCCAAGTCAGGTCTGAGCTTTGCCTGGGCAATCGCCCCACTGCTCAGCCCGGAGAATTTCCCTTTCGCGCCTCTCAAGAGAGCAGAGCCGTCGATCAGAGGGGGAGTTTGCCACACTCGGACCCCCCCTTCGTGCCTGGCTCTCCACGGGCCCAGGGGACACAGGAAGGCCACGCACAGGCCGCGGAGTGTTCGCTCTGCAGCATTTCTGGGCTGATTTGGGGTGGCCTGGCCTGGCCTGGCCTGGGGGCTGCTGTGCGCTCAGTCCCTGGTGCCGTGCAAGGCCTGGCCGCAGTGTTTCTGCCCTTACGTGATTTTCTGATTCGGGTTCCGATCCGGGTCCCGGGCCGTGTAGGAGGTGACTTCCTGTCCCACAGGCAAGTCCTCCGAGACCACGGCCCTTTTGACAGGCGGATCAAAGACCGGGGCTTCGTTCACGTCCTGAACATCGACCGTGACGGTGGCGGTGGAAGTCGGGAGAGGCACCGAGAAGGGAACTTCGTTCCTTGCGATCATGTGCAGGACGAACTGCCTTTGGGTCTTGAAATCCAGGCCCTGGCAGGGAGGCAAAGGGGGGGTCAGCTTCCCAGGAGAGACGCCGCCGAGCCCCGCTCAGTGCCTGCCGCGGGAGGCTGGGGAGAAGTCACAGCGAGGAGCCGCAGGGAGGCTACTGGCCCTGCCCTTGGAGAGAGGAGGCACTAACCCACCAGCAGGCTGGCCGGGGGGAGGCCCCTCAGGAGCCCAGTGTCTTTTGTCCAAGGCCCCCGAGCCTCCCCCGCCGGGCTGAGGGGATAAGGAAACTCTGCAGCTCCCAGGCCTCTGGTTTAACCCTCTCACCGTGCGCCCGCCCAGGATGAACACGGGTGGCACATCGCGGGGAAGTGGTGCAGCCGGGGACCCCTGGAGACGGCCCCACCGGCCAGCAGCCTTTCAAAGCCAGTCCCCTCAAGGTGGGGGGGGGGACAGCGCTGGGTGGCTGCAGCTCACCTGGGCAGTTTTCAGGAGCCCGTTGTTGTTGCTGGGGTCTGTGCTGACGGAGAACATGCCCCCCTCGTTCCCTTTCACAATCTCGTACACCGCTCTCCAGGCGGGAGAGCCCTGCTGGTCCTTGTCCGACACCAGCAGCCGGGCCACCAGCACCCCCACTTCGTTCTCTGGCACCGCGGCGTTGTACTGCAACAGAAGGGACAGGCTGGGCTGCAGGGCACCCCCCCACATGTGGGGCTGGGGGAGCCAGTTATGGAGCAGCCAGAATCCGACCCGCTCTCCAAACAGCAATGCCCGAGTGCCCAGTTTCTCTGGCAGAGCTGGAACCCCCACACAGTGGCCGAGTGCAGCTCCTGGACTCCAAGGTGGAGATCCCAGGCCAGAAGCATCAGTGTGGTCCCCAAGCGGCTGCACGCTCCTCAATAGGGCCTACACCAATGTTCCCTCAAATTCTCTCCATCCATGCGCAGAATACTTTTTGTTCCGAGCACCACAGCACATGTGGATGTGCACCGCCACCGAACACAGGCTGCCGGCTGTGGGTGCTCTGCTACTCAGCTGTGTGGCACCTGAATCATTCCTGGGTGGCCGCCCAAGCGTTCAGCTTAAGGGACACTGCCCTGTGGTACATCACACCAGGGCAGGGGATGGAAGGGAGCCTTCCAGCCACAGGAGACAGATGTAAAATCCCAGATAATCAATTAACCAGTTAAACGTTAGGTTAACCTGACATTTAACCAGTTAACCAACTAAGCGGGGTCTGGGTGAGCAGCCCCCAGCCTGTGGGGCTCCCGCTCCCAGCCCTGCACTGGGACTGGCTCCTGGCTTCCAGGGCTGGCGAGGAGTTCCACAGATTGACTGAGCGCTGAGTGCAGAAAAACTTCCTTTGGTTTGTTTTAAACTGGCTGCCTGTTCATTTCATTTGGTGACCCCTAGTTCTTATGTTATGGGACCAAGTAAATACCTTCTCCTTATTCACTTTCTCCTCACCACCCATGGTTTTATAGACCTCTATCCTATCCCCCCTTAGTCTCCTCTTTTCCAAGCTGAAGTGTCCCAGTCTTATTAACCTCTCCTCACACAACAGCTGTTCCAAACCCCTCGTCATTTCTGTTGCCCTGTGCCCCGTGCAAACAAGCAGGAGAGCTTCCGTTACCGTGAGCGGGTCGAACACTGGCGGGTTATCGTTGGCGTCTGTGACTTCAATCAGCGCTGTGGCTGTAGCCGCGAAGCCCTTGCCTTCCATGTCAGTGGCCAGTTCTCTGCAAGCCACAAGAGTCATTTCTGAGTTAGGAGGGCACGTCAGGCTGCTGCACTACGGCGGGGAACTGGCTTTGGCGGGTCAGCCAGCAGGTGAGACAGGAGGGGTGCGCTCCGAAACTCAGCTGTCCGGCAGCACCACTATTCTGGCCATGGCTGCCCGGTCTGGGGCATTCCAGCTGCTTAGCCCAGCGGTAGCGAGCGAGGAAATGCCCTTCGATTCAGCAGGCGAGCTGTCCCTGTGCCCCCGCTGCATGTAATAGCTCAGCGATAGCCGAGGGCATTTTAAGCCTTCGCTTGGCTTCGCAAGGGCTTGGGGTTTTCACCCCCCGATCTGGGCTCAGACAGGAGTTAGCTCAGTTTCAGGTTCCCCTATGTGTTTGGAAGGGGGTTTCCTTTAATCAGCAGAGTTCCCAGCGCAGCCCCCCGGCTGGGCTCTGGCTCAGCAGCAGCGCGTTGCTACAACCCAACGGGGCGGAGATGCGTGTCCGGGGGCTGAATTAACTGACCACGTCCCAGCAAACGGGCCTCGCCCTGGGGCTAGTTTCTAGCGCTGCCAAGATCCCATTGAACCCCCCCCACACACAATCCCCCACCAGGCACACGTCATCAGCCTCAGGCTGGCTGGCAGGGAGGTCGAGCCTGGCACAGGCGCCAAGGGGAAACAGCGGAAGTTTGCTAGAGACATCCAGGAACGTGACCCCGATTGCACTGGACACCCGCCACTCCCAGCGTGCCCCGGGGCGGAGATCGCATGTCAGATCCGAGGGCCTCCCTCGGAGTGCGAACATGTCGCACGGCCCTGCTCCGACCCGCGCTGCTTCCCCACTCCCGCACTCACCTCCCGGTCCAGCCCCGTGGCAATCAAACTGATGATGCCTTTGTCACGGTCGATGGTGAACATCTGGGCTTGAGGTTGTGCGGGAATCTGCTCCTGGATGGTGTACACAGGCACCCCGTTGTAGGTGTTCACGCTGTCGTCTGCGTCTGTGGCCGTCACCTGCATCACGGAGGTCCCTGGACACAAGGTTACAGCAAGACTGTCCAGTTACACGGGAGACAGTTCTCCAGAACAATCCCGCCTGGGCCTGCCAAGGGGATCGGGGACGGTGCCTCAATCAACCACGAGGCATCTCCCGCCCCCCCAACGTCGACCGATTCTCCTCTGCAGCCCCAGACAGAGTAGGTGTTCACGCTGTCGTCTGCGTCTGTGGCCGTCACCCGCATCACGGAGGTCCCTGGACACAAGGTTACAGCAAGACTGTCCAGTTACACGGGAGACAGTTCTCCAGAACAATCCCGCCTGGGCCTGCCAAGGGGATCGGCGACGGTGCCTCAATCAACCACGAGGCATCTCCCGCCCCCACGTTGACCGATTCGTCTCTGCAGCCCCAGACAGAGGAGTAAAAGTGTAAGCGCCCGGACCAGGGCGTCAGCCCAGAGCCATCGATCTCACCGGGCGAGGGAAAGAACAACGCCCTAGGAGCCTCTCACAGGGAACCAGGCGGCCCAGTCTGCAGCCACATTTACTGCTACCGGATTAGCTCCCTGTTCTCTGCCGCCACCATCGCCGGTGTCTGCACCGAGCGCCGGCTCCCCGCCAGCCCCAGAGCCTTATGGGAAGGTAACTGGCAGTGTCCCCTGTAAGCCGGGCGCTTGTGCGGCCGCTCAGGAGAGAGTCCGATGCTGCCCAGCTGATTAGCAGGGCCCACGGCTAGGTTTGTGTTTCAGTGGGTGGTGCACATCTGCACATGCACATAACATTATTCTGCACATGGATAAAAAAACTACAGGGAGCCTTGGGTCCCCGCGTGTCCAACCCCACGATGCCGACTAAAAAAAAACTACAGGGAGCCTTGGGTTCCCGTGGGTCCAACCCCACGATGCCGACTCTACTGCAGGATCGGGTGGGCTGGAAGGGGGAGGCAGAGCCTGCTCCAAGCCCAGCCATGGGCAATAGCAGCACGGTCGGGACAAGGCGCGTCTGTCACTGGACACAGATTTTAGCCCCTCTGGTGTTATTCTGGGATTTCAATTCTCCGCTGCAGAATTCTCCCAACACTAGCACGGCCCTCGCCTCTCCCGCCTGGGAGGGGAGCCTCCGACGCCGCATCTCAGCCAGTGTCTCGCAGGGTCTCCGTGCACCCACCTGGCTTGGCTCCTTCTTCTACGGAGCCGGTGAAGACCTGCTGGGTGAACTCAGGCTTGTTGTCGTTCTGGTCGGTCACGGTGATGATGATTTCCATGGGGTCCTCCACGGGCAGCCCGTTGGCAGACACCGCGTGGGAAAAGAGCTGCAAAGCCAACGCCCTGAGTAAGCCCCGCGAGGCCTGCAGCCGCCTGGCCACGAGCAGCCATCAGCCTCGCCCCACCCAGCCAGGCCTCCCACAGCGACAGCCCAGGCCTGGCTGGCTTGGCTGGAGGGGACTTGCTTTGCTCCCCCCACTCCGGCTGCCCGTGCCCACGGGGTCTGAGCTCACAGGCAGGACACGCAGCCCACCTGGGCTGGGGGACGCTGCCTGGCTCAGCCTGAGCCCAGGGCCCTCCAGCTCCCTCGGCGCTCCCAGGACAATCGCTGGCTGGCCCAGGGACACTGGTGTCCTGCTACCCGGGGAGAGGCCAGGCTGGGCTGCCCCACCGCGGGGACTTGTGATTTCTCCTCCCCGCTGGGCCAAACCCCCATCAGTGCTGGGCACGGAGCCCCCCGCCAGCCCTGCTCTGCCCCCATAGACCCAGGGCCCAGGACGAAGAGCCCAGCCAAGCTGTGGGGGCAGACAGGGTGCTGAGCATGTCTCCAGGCAGCCGGTGTTGGGCCCGATTCTTACCACTTCTGGGCCCCACAGTTCCATCGCGGCACTCAGCACCCTGGGGACAGAACCGGCCCCCAGGCAACGCGCTAACATGGCCGAGGGCCCAGGGCCGGAGGGGCACACCGCTGGGGTCAGCACCCGCCCCTCTGGCTGTGCTCAGCCAGGCCCGGGGAAGAGACCGTGGGGAAGGCAGCAGCCCTCTGGACCGTGCAGTGCAAGAAATGGGGTGAGACCCAGTTCACTGGCACCTCTGGCTCCTTCCAGCCACCTCTGAGCTCCAGGGGCATCGGCCCCAGAGGACACGGCCCTGCTCCCTCCACGGGCCCAGGGACTCACCGTGTAGTTACTAATTTCCTCTCTGTCCAGGGGCTGTGTCACCTTCAGCGCCCCCGTCTCCCTTTCAATGATGAAGACGCCCACGGGGGGCGTGTCTGCGCCCTGCCCCGTGATGCTGTAGAAAACCTTCATCTCTTTGTCCAGGTTGGATTTGATCTGGTGCCGGAGAACAGGCTGGGTCAGTGGGGGTGGGGGTCTGAGCACCGCACCGTCCCAGCCCATCTCCCCACCCTGTCTGCCCAGAGCCCCAGGACCTGCTCCCCTCCAGGCTGCTCCTCCCCAGCCTCACTTCCTCCCACTTCTCCCCAAACCTTCCAGCCCCCCCCCCTTTTGCACCGA